GCCACCTTAGGTGTATGTGGCTGGCGCCTTAGCCACTTGAGCCACAGGCGCCAAGCCCACGTGTTTTACTACACCAAGAATAATAGCCTTTCTAACTTTGCAAATCCAGTCAGTTGGTAAGGGCCCAGCTCAGATTCCAGTGACTTCTCCCCACCTTGTCCACTTCCATCCTAAAGGGCAGAAACCAGGTCTTGTCTGGATATTTTTCTAGTAGTGCCCCACAAAAAGATGAGCACACTGGAGTTGCTCTGAAAAGACCTGTTCACCAAAGGCTATCTGCTGTTAATGCAATTGGGTTGAAATAGGTGGAAATTTCACTTTCAGAATTCTGGGAAGGTAACACTTGTGTCTGCTTGTGTGGGCTTCTGGATGATGGCTTGTGTCTAGTGGGCTCAAAGTCTAGAGTTGTTGGGTGACAGACCAGAAAAGGATAAATTTTAGTGCTCACTTTATTTTCATTCCTCTTTCAAGACCGTCTCCGGGATACTTTGATCCATGAAATATGCCACGCAGCCTCCTGGCTGCTTGATGGTGTCCGTGATTCTCATGGTGATGCATGGAAATATTATGCCCAAAAATCCAACAGGATACACCCGGAGCTGCCTGCTGTCACTCGTTGCCATAACTATACAATTAACTACAAGATTCAATATGAATGTACTCGATGCAAAACCAGGTAAGACCCTTCTCCCCAGACTTTTTTTTTTTTGAGACAGAGTCTCACTATGTCACCATCAGTAGAGTGCTGAGATGTCACAGCTCACAGCAACATCAAACTCTTGGGCTTAAGCAATTCTCTTGCCTCAGCCTCCTAAGTAGCTGCCACAACACCAGCTATTTTTTGGTTGTAGTTGGCCTGGGTTAGATTTGAACCCACCAGCTCTGATGTATGTGACTGGTGCCCTAGCCACTGAGTGAGCTACAGGCACCGAGCCTCTCCCCAGACTTTTCCTACTTAAGTTTTACTATGGCTTCCACTGATTTTTAATCAGCAAAGTGGATTGCTCTCTGACTTGAGTAAAACCTCTCCTTTCTTGCTCCTCTCCATTTTCTTTCCTAATTTAAACTGGCCCTGTCACTATGGTTGCTTGGTGCTCCAATCTCTGAGAACCCAGAGAAAATTCTTGGTTTGGGCCCAAGGCCAACCTCTCAGAGCTGATGCTGAGGTACAGTGACTAATTCCTTTGTTGTATTGTGTTTGTTTCTTTCCTTGCTAGGGTTGGCCGCTACACCAGATCATTGAACACTGACCGCTTTATCTGTGCTGTATGTAAGGGGACGCTGGTTGTGCTGCCATTAACTCGGAAGGATGGGACCCCCATTGCACCCCATGTGAGACCATTTGCCAAGTATGTGCAGGAAAATTATAGAATAGTTTTGAAGCAGACAGCAGGGATTACCCATGGGGATGTGATGAAAAAGCTTGGCAAGGATTATTGTGCCAATAAGCAAAAGAAAGCTCCTTAAGGTTATCAGAGTATGAGCTGAATCCTTTACTGATAAGTTTTAGAAAAGCCTGTTTCTGTGAAGTTATCAATATTAGAACTTAAGTACATTTTTAGATTCATGTTATAAATGGTTATTCTTAGCGAGTGGCTCTGTTGCTAACAATCTTGTGCCTTTGACAGTACTCTAAAGCACTTAGGGTCTACCTTGACTTTTACTGTGACATCATAGGTTTAACGTGTACAACTTAATACAAAAGAAAAATAAGTTTAAGAATGGTGGGTTAAGAGAATGAGGATGATGCTGGAAAGAGAACAAGTTTTGAAAGCAATGCTTCAAAACCAGGGGTACTGTCTGATGTAATCTGTTATACCAACATAGACAGAAAAGACAAAAGTGTTTCAACCATCTGAGCCATGTAATTGTTCATAAAATTAAATAAAATGTTTTCTGCATCTCACTTTTTAGTAAAGTCTATTCATTGGCTCCCTGTGCTTAGAGGAGAACAAACCCTCAGTTCTTTTGTTCAAGACTCAGACATCTGATGTCCCCTGAGACATGTCTAGAGGAGCACCTCTGTTCTGTATTTCTGTCTGATTTCTGTGACTGCCTATAAGTACTTCAGCAGCTTTCCTTCTGTCAGATATCTAGGACATGAACTAGAACCCACACTGTGTTCTTTCCCCATGGCTGCCACAACAGGTTACCACAAATTTAGTGGCTTAAAACAACACAAATATCTGACAGTTCTGGAGTTCAGAAGTCCAGTATGGGTCTTCCTGAGCTAAAATCAGTGTGTCAACAGGGTTGCGTTCCTCTCTGGAAACTCTAGGGGAAAATTTTTGTTTCCTTGTCTTTCCTAGCTTCTAGAGACTGCCCACATTCCTTGGTTTGTGGCCCATTTCCCCTTTTCCAAAGCCAGCAACACCTCTGTCTCTGACTCACCCTCTTTTCTGTCTCCCCCCTTTCACTTTTAAAAGCTTTTATTACAATTAATGACATGGTAGGGCACGGGGTAAGGGGAGATCAGACTGAGAAGGAGCGAGGGGGTGTGGGCAAAAAAAAAAAATATATATATATATAATAATGTTTAATTCTCACAAACTGGATTTAATTTTAATTAACGTATATTACTTAAACATCAATTTTTAATCCAACATGTCAATATGTTGTTTATCATATTGCATCCTTATTCATCAGTGAAATATGTCTGTAATTTCCCCTTTATAATAATATATTTTTTCTAATTTTAAAAAAAAAGCTTTTATTGGACTCACCACCTGAATAATCCAGGATACCATTCTTAAAGTCAGCTGAGGTAATAGTCGCAAACTCAGGGTTAGAGCATGGATATCTTGGGAGCCCATTTTTTAACCTGCCACAAGCACCTTCACTAGTCTAGCATCACTGATACGTTTTACAGGCAGGATGTGTTATTCTGTCGTTTTCCTTCCTTCCTTCATTTTGCAGAAGCTTAGACTGTTTTAGTGACCACAAACTGCAAACCACAACGCTAGATGGGGTTGGGTGTTTATGGGGTGGGACAAGCTTCCCCAGCTAACTCTTGGGATTCCTATTTCCCATCCCCACCTCCAGCCGTATCTGCAGTTTCAGCAAGGGTCCAGCTGGCCTGTAAAACAGTTGGGCGAAACTGACCAGTCCTGAACTCCAGCTTAGGAGTGGTGGGTGCAGTGGACCCACCCACCCCTTCACTTTCTGCCTTAACTCAGTATCCCTTCTGAGAAGCCCCAGTTGTCTTCTTCCACTCACTTCAACCCCACCTTCGTCCTAAAAAAAATGCTCCCTGCAGCTTACGTACTCCAGGCACCAGGAGGTAGCTATGTACTCATTACTGTTGGGTGAGTCACCAGCCTTATTGCTTTCTACAAGCCCCACTGCCATTTCCCTAGTAATCACTGTGTCACCTCTCACCTGAATAACAAATCTAGGCTTTTGACTGGTCTCTATTATAATACCATTACCTGATCCAATCTACCTTTCAGAGTTATTTTAAACCCTGAACCCTAAATTAGCCAGCAGGGGCCACTTATAATTCCTCTGGTGAGTGTTGCTGTTTCCAGTCTTCTCACTTTTACTGCTACCCTCCCTTCTGCCTGGAAATATTGTCTTTACTTTTCTTCACCCTTGGAAATACTCCTTGCCCTAATTTAAGTCTTTAGGAAGCTTCCCAAATGGCACTGGCCTTCAGTGACCTGAGCCCTGGGTTCATTGTCTATGTGCCACTCCTCTGCTATTGCACAGGCTGCTTGACATTGCTAGTTCTAATCACATCTTTCCTGCTGTCCTGAGCTGGAGTTCAGGACTGGTCTTATTGGTGTGACAGTCCCTTCCCCTGATTGTGCTAGCCAGTTGTCTACCTTCTTGCTCTGAACCCATGTTCCTGGGTGTTTGTAAATAAAACAAGTGCCCAGGAGGGCAGAGAGACATTAATGGAGGCAGGATAGGTTGGCACAGACCCAGGGTGAGGCAAGGAGAAATAGGAAATGATATACTAACATACTCTGGTCCTAAGGATCTTGTTTATTAAAAATGTTTAAGCAGGATTTTAGACAAAAGTAGAAATGAACAAATACAGAGATCTTGGGAACCACAGGGACTGCTGAGCTGGAGGCCTGGGCAACAGCCCCATAGGAGCAGTGTCCTCTACACCCCTTACCCTGCACACGGGGAAGGCCAAGTTCTAGTTTCTGAATGAGAAGAGCAGTGAGGCTCTTGGCAGCCACCTCTGAAGCAGCAGGGTGGGGCTTGGCAGCTAAGGAGCAACAATGGTGCAGACCCCAGAGCTGGGAGGGTGGCTTCCCAGGAGACGGGACAATGCTGGAGCCGTCAGTGAATCCCAGGAGCCAGGCTGTGGGGAGAGCCAGAGCCAGTCCCAGCAGAAACAGGGGGAGGAGCCTGGAACATGGGGAGAGTCAGATTGTAGGAGTTAAACAAGAACCCCTATTCCAGCCTCACAAGCCAGAATAGGAGCCCTCTGTGGTCTCAGACCAGGATGAATCCCGGCGGGAAGATGACGGCTGCCACTGGAGGCCTCTCCGATCAGGGCAGCCCAGGCGTGAGAGCAGCATCCACATCCGCTCTCGGAACTTGACACCCACAAAGGCATAGAGCAGCGGGTTGAGGCAGCAGTGCATGTAGCCCAGGCCTGAGGTGACTGACTTGGCTATGTCCACCTGGCTCTCTCGAGCGCAGTTGCGGGCTAGGACCCCCAGGTCCATGATGGTGTCTACCAGCACCACCAGGTGGTAGGGAGTCCAGCAAAGGGCAAAGGCCACCACTACCACCACCACCAGCCGAATGGCTCGTAGACGCCGCTGGCCCCTGGAGACCAGCAGCACTGCCAGGATTCGGGCATAGCAATAGGCCATGACCAGCAGAGGCAGCAGGAAACCAGCCACCAGCTGCAGTACCCTCAGAACTGTGCGGCCCACCTGTGGGAAGTTATACTGGCAGTGGGTGGCATTGAGGCGCTCGTCATAGTTGGCTGACAGGAAGATGAAGTCTGGGAGGGCAAAGAGCAGACAGAGCCCCCATACAGCTATGCAAGTGAGGGCCACGCGTCCCCGTGGGCCCCTGCGGTAGAGCTGGGTGGCATGCACTATGCTCAGGTAGCGGTCAAAGCTGATGCAGGCCAGCAGGAGGGCCCCTGCGTAGAAATTGATGTTGAAGACGGCACCTGCCACTTTGCAGAGGCCGGAGCCAAAGACCCACTGGATGGCAGCGTCCACTGCCCAGAGAGGGAGCGTCAACACCAGCAGTGTGTCTGCCACAGCCAGGTGCAGCAGGAAGGTGTCGGTGCTGCTTAGGGCCGCCCTCTGGCTCAGCAGCACTGCTGCCACAGCGCCGTTGCCCACCAGCCCCAGGAGAAAAAGGAGGCTGTACAAGACTGGTAGGAAGGTCTGGTCGAAGTTCAGGCTGAAGTCCTGTGGGCAGGGTGGGGAAGCACAGCAGGAGTCATTCTCATCTTCCGAGTCATAACAAGAGCTGCAGTTTTCCAGGAAGGAGGCAATTCCAGAAAAATACAGCACTTGGTGAACCTGCCGAGGGAAAAGAAAGTGACAGAGAGAACAGCAACTACTCCTAGATTGAATTTGAGGGACATTTCTCTGAGCAGCTCCTCCCGAAGGCAAGCCCTGAGGCCTGAACCAGACACTGTAACTGTCCCCACCTTTCTTCCAGGGCCACACCTGAACTCCCTCCATCCAGGCTGGGCGCTTAGGTGGTGACTTCTCAAAGGCTGCTTCTCTCTCAGCCTTTTGAGTGATCCCATCTGCCCCAGGATCCTGGGCAGGAGGAAGACCTTCCCTTGGGTGCCCAGAGCCCTCCCTGCCTGCTTTCTTTTCTGCCTTCTCTCTTTTTACGGCTTGCCTTGTGTCCTCAGCGCTCCAGCCACACCTAGTTCAACCACCTTCCTCCCAGGCGCCTCTCTACCACCCCCTCTCCCAGTCACTGGTCCTCCTCTTGCCTTTTTCAGCTGTTGTCCGGGGAGCCCAACTTCCTGCCCCTTGTGGGGCTTCTCTATGAATGACTGCAGCCCCCCTAAATGCATGTTTTCAGCCCATCTTTCCCCTCCCCTACACTGAGGATTATGAGCCCATTTAGCTGCCCACCAACGGAGGGATCCCATGCCAAGCTCTAGCAGGAATCTCCTTTATACCCACCCTAAACCACCCCAGATCTGCAGGCCTTCCCAAGGCCAATTCAATCCAGCATGTGAGAGTCAAAGTTCCAAGACAGCTGAAGGGAGGTTCAGAGGTCATCAAGGTTGAGACTCTACCCTAGACCCTAACTTTTGCAGATGAGGCACTAAAGCCAGAGAGGGGAGGAGACTTGCCTGTGGTCAGTGGCCAAGCTGAGTTCCTAATTTTCTGTCTGATGGTTCTTCTATCACAACCCTGCAAGATGCCCTACTTACCCAACCCTCTGGTGATTCTGGGCTATGGGTCACCCCCAGTGTTTCCCTAATGCCCTGGGTTCTCCACTCCCAACTGTGGCCTGGCCTGCCTGGCCAGCAGCACTTACCTCGGGGGCCATGGCTGGGCTGGTGCTCTGGTTGCCGGGCTTCGTTCTGCCCGCCCCACTGCTCGGCTGCTTGTGGCTGGAAACCTACATACACAGAGGAAGTGAGGGTTTCACGCGGTTCTCAGTAGCAGCTTCTTCCAGGGAGTTATCTACACCAGACCTCCCCAGACACCTGGCCACAGACTTCTTTTCCCGGTCATTCCCATGGCTAGTGAAAGCTGCTCTGGAGGAGCTGACCACAGCTTGTCAGAAAGGCTGGGCCCTAGGGAAGGGCTGTGGGTAGCTGGGTGGAGGTAGGTCCTTTGAGGGGAGAGGTTTGAAGGAGGAACAATGCAGGTGGGAAGGGAAAGGCAGCCCTGCTGATGGGCGAGGATTATTTCTCCCCAAAATAAAAATTAAAAGAAAAAAAGAGAAGAATTACTTCTCCTCTCCTGCTCAGTAGATTAGAACTCATGCCCATCTGGCCTGGCTGGAGTTGTAAAGACTGGAGTAGGAAAGATGTTGACTGTAAAGGAGTCACCTTCACAAAAAATTCAAGTATTAAAACAATCCGCCACACTAAGTCTAGTTCTTTTTCTTTTTTCTTTTTCTTTTTTTTTGGCAGAGTCTTACTCTGTTGCCCAGGCTAGAATGCCGTGGCATCAGTCTCACAGCAACCTCAGACTCCCGGGCTCAAGCGATCCTCCTGCCTCAGCCTCCCAAGTAGCTGGGACTACAGGCTCCTGGCACAATGCCTGGCTAATTTTTTTTTCCTCCTTTTCTTTTCTTTTTTCTTTTGTTTGAGACAGAGTCTCACTCTGTCACCCCAGGTAGAGTGTAGTGGCATCATCGTAGCTCATAGCAACCTCAAACTCTTAGGCTCAAATGATCCTCCTGCTTCAGCCTCCCAAGTAGCTGGGAGTATAGGCACCTGCTACAATACCCGGATAGTTTTTCTGTTTTTAGTATAGACGGGGTCTCGCTCTTGGTTGGGCTGGTCTTAAACTCCTGAGCTCAAGCGATCCACCTGCTTCTACCTCCAGGAGTGCTAGGATTACAGGCGTGAACCACTGTGCCCAGTCAACTAAGTCTAGTTCTTTACCATTGCCCCTCCACACTAATCAACAGGGGAAGGAAAGGGAACTACTAGTAATGAACTTGCTATGTGCTAGACATTGTTTTAGGTGCTTTCTTTGACACTGCCTCATTTCAACCACACTACTCCCTTGTGAGGTGGGGGTTGTCTGCACAAACGATTGTGAAAGGGGAAAGGTCTTTGCCAGATGCAGCAAGCAAGGGTGTGAAGATCGAACCCACAGCCATCTAACTCTCCTTTTCCCACTTTTCATGCTGCCTTTGGTTTCTTTTAAAGGCATAAACTATGATATATGCATGCAGTTAAAAAAATGAACTAAAGCTACATATTGTAACATGGATGCAACTTGAAAAGCCAAGGACCACATGGCGGAAGAGGCAAGTTATAGAATATCATGTATAGTTTGACACCACTTACATAGATTTTAAAAACCACCTCAGAAACCAATACTATATTGTTTTGGATACGATTGTTTGTTGTCAAAGTTTAAAACAGGGGCTGGAGACACCACAAACTCATGAAAGCAGTTACTTTTGGGGTGAGAAGAAGGGGGTTGGGGGTTGGGCGGAGTCCACAGGGACCTTCAGATTTTAAGGAAAACCTGTAAAACAATCTTGGTACAGTAAAGCAGTGAGTGGTGGAAAATGTTCTCCCCACCTGCCTCAGCTCTCCCTGTCACCTTTTTCTCCTCTCTCTGTCACCCTGTTCCCAGCAGCAGCAAGGCAACCTCTAACTTGCCTCTCCCAAGCAGTTTCCTCTTCCCCTCTCTCCCCCCAGTTGAAGAGCAGGGCGAGAGAGAGAAACTGAGGCAAATGCAGCTTTCGGACCCAGTTTTTAGTCATACTGTGCTTCAGAAGCCTCCCAGCTCGTGCCTGGGACTCAGTTCAGACTTACGTACATGACACATATTCTGCATTAGGCCCTTCCCTTTCTTCTATGGACACATGTGACTCTATTGGCTGCGAATAGTTTGTCACCTGCAGGGTTGAGGCCAGAGGGAACTGAGCCTAGAGGAGGTCAGGAATAGTCAAGTAGAGGGAACCAGGAGGATTCCAGAAGCCAGGCCAGTTAGAACAAGTAAGACTTGGCAAGTGACTACCTATGGGGATGGAAAATGGACAGGAGTTGGGACCACGATTTCCCAGTGCCAGTCTGCAAAGAGGTTTGAGTTCCCTAGACTTCTACAAATGAGAAAAATGGCCACAAAAGCTAGATTTGTTCAATTTAAAGGACTATCTTACATTTGGCCATTATGTTCACCCCCATTTTGGTTTTAAAAGGGCCTTTTCTTTATGAAATGATGGGGTAAAAATGGGAGTTTGGGAAATAACTTCTGTTGTCAGGAGTTGATAAGCCCATGTGGATCCTCCAAATCGAAGTTGAAATATTACTAACCCATGTGAAAGATAAAAGTCTAGGGATCCCCGGGGCCCCAGTCTCCTCATTTGTCACATGGGGTTGATGATCCCCACCTTCCCAGGTTTCTGTGAAGGATAAATGAGAGAAGGGCCAGGCAAGGGCTTCGGAAAGATGAAGAGAGCTTTCTGTTCTGAGCCCTGCATGCTGCCATCAGGGTTCTGTTGCTGCTCCCTGCAAGACAATGATGCAGTGGGAAGAATGGTGAACCAAACTGTCTGGGTTCCAGTCCTGATCCCACCCTGTTCAAACTGTGTGACCTTGGACAGATTACATAACCATGTTGAGCTGGTTTCCTTGGCTGGGTTATTAAAAAATGAACTGAGATAACCAATGCTGTAAGCTCCTAGCACAGGGCCCAGCACTTAGTAGGAGTGCAGTTGAGAATGTTGAAGGACAGGGTTATTGGCTACCAACTTAAGGTCACTGGGAGCTTTTTATGTCAGGGAGCTGATAGAGGGTGGTGCTTATAAGGCACGCAGGCATGGACTTGGCCTGAGGGCTGGTTTTTCAGAAAGGCCATCTGTTGCCTTATCTGGGGATTGGAGAGGGGGCAGTTTGTCAGTCCTAGTCAAATTCTCTGTCTACCTAGAGGATTGTGTAATCCTGACAAATCATTTCATCTCTGCCTCAGTTTTCTCATCTGAAAAATGGGTATAAGTATAGTACACATTTGATAGGGTTGCTCTGTGGACTGTAAATGATAGCTTGTAGAATGTATCTGGCATGGAGTAGGTGCCCAGTGAGCAGCAGCCTCCTCTCCCTCTAGTTGCTTTCCAAACCAACCCCTCCCAAGCCTCAGGATGGTGAGTCTGTGGTGGGCTTCTGCTGTTGCACACAGCTAAGATATCTTGGATGTTTCCTCTGTTGTGGAGCTGAGCTAAGCCCTTGTTCAGCTCTCTAATTTGGTTCTTTCCTGTGGCAAGCAGTGCCCAGACAAGGTGAGAGCCAGGCCCAGCTGCTGGGGAGAGCTGCCAAGCCAAGAGTCTGTGATCTGAGTTCTGGCCATGTGTCCTCCTTCCTCTGCCCTCCCAAGCAGCCACCAGGGAAGCCTGAGGAGGAAGTTAGTCAGAGTGAAGCTGCTCTGGGCCCCACCTGTGGTCAAGGTGTGAAATGTGCACCTGGCTCTTTTGTACCACCCCTCCCCCTGTTTTTTTCTTTCTTTCACACCTCCGGGCTGTGGTTTGGGGAGATGGGAGGCTCAAAGGCCTGAGCCCTGGGCCTAGTCCTTCACAGGAAGGAGGGCCCCTACAGCTGCCTTCTGGGCTGGCCAGCCAGGGAAAAGGACCACTTCCTCCTTCTCCTCCCACTAAGTCTGATGTCTGAGAACCTCTCTCACAGCTCCTCATAATGTCCTAGGAGCCCAAAGCTCCCGGTGGTATTCAGAGAGGACTACTTTGCCTTTATCTGTAATGTTTTACTCAGAGGCTGCAGTCATGTGTTAGTCACGTGATTAAATAGTCATCACATAATCCTAGTACTATGGGAGGTGAGGTAGGAAGATTACTTGAGCTTAGAGATTCAAGACCAGCCTGGGCAGCATAGTAAACTCCCATCTCTACTAAAAATAGAAAAATAGCCAGGTGCAGTGGTATAAGCCTCTAGTCCCAGCTACTTGGGAGGTTGAGGCAGTAGGATTGCTTGAGCCCAGGAACCCAAGGTTGCTGTGGGCTATGATGACACCGCTGCACTTTACCTGGGGTGACAGAGTGAGACTCTCAAAATAAAAAAAAAAGAAGGGCCACATCTGTAGCTCAGTGGGTAGGGTGCCTGCCACATACACCAAGGCTGGCAGGTTCAAACCTGGCCTGGGTCTGCTAAACAACGATGACAACGGCAACAAAAAAAATAGCCAGGCATTGCAGTGGGCACCTGTAGTCCCAGCTGCTCAGGAGGCTGAGGCAAGAGAATCGCTTAAGCCCAAGAGTTTGAGGTTGCTGTGAGCTGTGATGCCATAGCACTCTACCAAGGGCGACATAGTGAGACTCTGTCTCAAAAAAAAAAAAAATTAAGCTGAAAATTTGAACAATTGGTGAAATTTGCATATGGCCCAAGGATTAAACAAAACCTTGTATTCTTGCTATTTTGCTTATTGGGATAATGTAAGGGAATGTTCTTGTTTGTAGGAAATAATACTTTGAGGTATTTAGGAAAAAAATGTCATCGTGTCTGCAAATTACTTTCTTAGGACTTGGAAATTAAATATGCAAAGTGAGAGGGGACTTACAAAAGCTAAAGCAGATGGGGTGACATGCTAATGACTAGGGAGAGGAAGAGGGGTAAAAGGGAATTCTTTGTACTATTCTTTTTTTTGGAGACAGAGTCTGACTTTGTCACTCTGGTAGAGCACTGTAGCATCATAGCTCACAGCAACCTCAAACTCTTGGGCTCAAGCAATTTTCTTGCGTTAGCCGCATGAGTAGCTGGCACTACAGGTGCCCTCCACAACACCCAGCTATTTTTAGAGACGAGGTCTTGTTCTGTCTCAGGCTGGTCTGGAATCTGTGAGCTCAGGCAATTGACCCATCTCCCAGAGTGCTAGGATTACAGGTGTGAGCCACCACCTCTGGGCCTTTG